ACTGAAGTATCGATATACCCATTTATAGTTCGATTTCGGTATCGGTATCGGAGGCTGGAGTAGTTGATTCGGAGGGCTGAGAAGAAGGAGATTGGGCCGAGAACTGGACTGGGGAAGACTGAGCTGAAGGTCGGGTAAGGAACTGTTCGAATAGGTTGGCTTGGGAGAAAAGGGGCTGGGTATTCGGGTATATATTACTATAGATTGGTGTTGTAGTTATGGTTATAATAGGGGGGTTATTTTCCCAGAATAGTGAAAATGTTAATCTCTTATATATAGGGAGTCTAATCGCCAACTTAGACTTTTTTTAGGGTGACCTAGAGAAAAAGTGGGGCATGGCCTAAGTATAGACTATTTCATTGTACTAGTCTGTACTAGGATATAAACTAAGCTAAATTTAGCTAGTGCGATGTCCTGTACTATATAGATTACGTGAAGATTACTATCTCCTGCCCTACATCCCCTCCCCAGCGAAGCCGGGCAACCTACACCTACAAAAAACGTCTGAGTCTGAGATAAGTTAGTAGGGTACCCTGCGAGCGCGCAACAACTGACGTTGAGCTTAAAACTCTCCCCTATATATTAGTCTATATATAGTATGCATGTGCCGGACAACTATATATATACAGGTAATATAACCTATAAAAGCTAAATTCACCGTTGGATTGATGGCGCAGGTAATGCGTATAGAGGTATTGATGACCTAAAAATAGCCTCTTTTTCGAGCGTTTTTGCCAAGATTTTATTGTATAGCCAATTCTCCAGTTGAGCCTCGTTACTCATCCATATCATTGGGTTCACTCCTCGCTGGAAGAGTTGGTTGTTGTGACCGCCCATTTGATCCGGCAAAGATCCGGGCCCCAGTTGCTCTGCATGGAATGGAAACAAAGCTGCCAGGGGGGGATCAACTTGGTTGGCCTGCTGTTCTTCCCTGCTGCCCCCTCCACCCACAGAGTGGACATACTGAGCCGCAACGCTGTAAAGGATCTGGAAAAGATGGCGGAGCTTGTCAACAGCCTCGCTGGTTGCGTGATGTGGCTGAACAGAGGCATTGAATGCCTCGAGCCGACCAAGATCCATCGAGTCCTTCGTTTCAATCACATGACAGAACAGAACGATGAAAGGGACAAATGGGGCGTAGAGGATGGTCCTGGTGACTCGTCAGCTGTGGTTGGCGAAGCAGTGGCACCACAGCAGGAAACATACCAGTTCATGTAGGCCGCCAGCATCCCAGGATCGCGAGTCCTCTCAATCACAGCCATGCATTCTTGATGTCGCGCCAGGGTATCTTGGGCGGCCTGAATGCAGGTCTCGGTAAATGTAGTCGGGCACCCGGCCGGGTTGGGTACGGCTCGAAGGATGAGGGTCCGTGTTGAGAGGTGGAGGACATCATCCGAGAGGGTGACGAAGTCAGTGATATTTTCGGACAAAACATTCTTTGAGTGGTTCACCCAAGCAGCCTGGACGATGGCAGTTATAAATGATTCGCATTCATGAACAGGCAAAAGGGAGGGCAGCTACCCTTGTCTGATACGTAAGAGCATCAAGCTGGTCGAGACGACCGACCAAAAGCTGCATGCGGAACTCCCGCACTTCACGTGGCTGTGCCAGGGCTTCGGGGCAATACAACAATTCGTAGATCTGGCCATGAAGTCTTGATATGCTGACCCATATGTCGAACCAGGCGGAAGTGGATGCTTCCTTTGGGCGGACCCCTGGGCCGTCCTCGCGTGGCCCCGGCAATGTGATGTCGTATTCTTGGATGGTCGAGGACCGTCCGAGCCGAAGCGAAAGGCTTTTGTCGAGGGTGTATACGATCCAAAAGAGTGTTTGTTTACGTTCTGCGTCGTCCGGCAGTGAGTTCTTGTACGTTCCTATCCGGTGGTAGCCCAAAGCCTGGCAAAGTTCAGACGCTTTTGATGACAGAGTCCAGGCCAGTGAAGCTTTCGCGAGCTCTACCGCGGTAAAGACCTAGTATGCGGTTAGTCCAGCGCCAGACTGACACCACAGGCACAGGAGCTTTTGCGTACCCCTAAACAAAGTGCCGTGATCATATCTTCACTAGCTGGAAGGTGTAGGGGGAGGTTGGATAGCGCCGTCTCGATGTTCGTAGCACAGATCCGCGACATGCCGAGGTAGTCGTCTCGTTTCTCCGGGATGACGTAGCTGTAGGTAAGAAAAAGATAATGCAACAAGGCATTGCCGATGGTAAAGCGAGGGGTGTGGTACTCGTACTCGTCGGCCATGTGCACGGAGAGGCACGTTTCTGGGAAGTTGTTCCCCTTGAACAACTCGAAAATCCACGCGATGCTGTGCTGGCTGTGACCTAAGTGAGTGGTATGAGCCTGCTTTCAGCACAACCGCCGTAGACGCATAGCAGGACTGATGCAAATGGTACTAGCAACTCACATTTCGCAAGTTTCAGGACCTCTAATGTCTTTTCAATGGGTGGAAGCTGGCATCCACCACGGACAACAAGAGACATGGGCTTGGCAAGCGGGTAAGCCATCTCATCTGCCGCGGGTTGCAACTTCATGACTTCGACCATGTGATGGAGATCGTCTATTCTCTCGCGAAACTCTGGCCGCGACTCCTTGCTCACGACCTTCTGTAAGAGGTCTTTGGCGAACGCCGAATGTGCTGTCAAGGAGGACTCGCCTTCGACCACTGGTCCGGAAATTCCAGCGGGACTGGCCCGGCTGATGGGAGTGGCATGGCTGCCATGACTGATCGCAGTCACCGGGTTCAAGGGGGAGGACTTGGTTGTGCTTGCGCCCCCTGATGACGCAGGTGTTCGTGAGGGAAGCTTTGTTCTGAGCTCCTCAAGCAGCCCAACAACTGCACCCAAGCGGCGGTCGATGCTGTCGATTTTGTTCTCACTATCGGAAGGGATTAGACGTGTCAAAATCGGGTATGCGGAAGGACGACTAACTATTGGCGACTTAAAAGCACCCGCGTTCGCTTCTCTCGTTGCCTTGTCTTGGACTGCGTGCACTCAATCTTGGATTGCACACAGTGAGCACATGGAGATTCTCGGTCACAGCGGATCTGATTAATCGACAGGTGTCAGTTTGAAGCGTAGGTATTTTTGACCCTATCTTGGATACGGTAAAGGGGCACACAAGCACACGGGAGGATGAAGCAAAGGGGGCATGGCGGGACCTGCCTTGCGTACACGGCAGGCATCGCACTGATCCTGTTGTTAGCCTGAACATGTTCTTGGCATCTGGACCGGGCGGACTTGCAGCTCGTGGGACACGCGTATGATGAACGGCCGTGGCCGGAGGCGAGCAGTCGTCGTATTCTATCGCATCCGGGTCGTCCATTTTTCTCCATAAGTCTTGCGAACGCCGAGAGATGAAATCGGCCAAGTTTTGGCTGCCGAAATAAGTTGAGATCTCGCTGGTTGCTGCATTTTTCAGGTCTTCGAATTTCCATCCGCAATGCGGATGGAAATTTTCCGGTTTCGAAGTCCGGTCAGAAAGATGGATGGACGCGCCATCGCTGGAATTGCGGAAAAGTGGGGCAGCACTGTCTCGAAGACATGTTGGATCAGACGGCGGTCTTGGCACAAAAAAAACTGGGTCAGTCACCCCGGTCATCCCTTTACAAAGTCGACCGATCCTCGATTTGCATCACGTCCCAGCGATCTCCAACTGCCTCGTTTTTACTGCTCTGCTTTTGGCAACCGCAAACCACTCAAATCCACGACTAATGATGTAGATTACACAGACCAGATATAAGCCCCAAGCTAAACGCTGCCCGCCTCTCTAGAAGGAGTATGGTGGAAGTCGAAAGTTTCCAAGATTCTCGACCCAAAATCGCTTTTGAATGCAATTCCAAGCCGAACTTGAAATTTCACATCCCTGCCTTACATGGGAATGGGAACCATCGAAGAAGGAGCCGCGCGACGCGCGGGATCCGTTTAGTACCTTCGTACTTCGTACTCAGTACAGGATACGGATAAGGGGTTGTTTGTTAGCGCGAAAGTTACATCATGGGCCCAGATCAGGAGGGCTCGCGTTATCCAGGTCCCATATTTTGTATGTGGCTGGCCAAGAACGCACTGACCATCCGGATTTCCTGTTACTGAGGCTCAAGTGAGCACAGGCCATCCTTCCACTTCCACCTTCTTCCCCATGATCCATCAATCCAAATTCTTCATTCCCAACCAAAACATCTTGGTTCCGAGAAAAATGTGTATACGACTCCGGGTGCTTGGGTTCCGGTGTCCGTCCCGTAATCCACAACCGCTTGTTCCATCAGACCAGGGGCAACCAGATTCACAGCCCGCGAACTGGGCAACCCTTGAGAAGTTGAGATGCACCTCTCAAAAGTGGAATCGAAGACCCCCCGCCCCTGAAAGTAGTTTGTTTCGGAGGTACTCCCTAAGAACACATTCAATTGACCCTTTCGGTTTCTCGGCCGCCGGAGAGCCCGAGGCGCGGGACGGGCGGCCGGTCTCCACACCCGACGCTGGCGCAGGCCTGCCTCAGCTTGACAAGGCCTAAATTGTAGTCGCCTCTCAATCAGATCGGTAAGGTAGGTATGCTTGGGAGCCCCCGTAACCGCCCTCTTCCCGGTCCGATGCTTCATGTTTCCCAATATTCTATGCCAAGCCACGGTATTCTATGCACTGAAACCAGGGCTCATAGCAATGGTAATACTTAGTACTTAGATACACCGGGTTGTTGAGCGTAGGGGCGCCAATCGAGTAATCGGACAGCGTACGGTGTCTATGGAATCCACAAAGGGCTCCAAGCCATGTTTGACTCATGTGGAGTGAGATCCAGCGTCGTGTAAGCTTGAGCAATCTAGGATCCTCAGCTTGCCACTGAACATACATGTTGATTGCTAGTTGTATCCTCGACAGTAGTCAATACCTATAGTATTTATACTTTGAGTGCAAGCACTTGGCCTTGTACAGGTACCTTTGACCCAATTCTTCTCTGGCTTCTCCCAGGCACAGCAACGCACTACTCGATCCGGCACTTCTCGCGACTTAGTGCCACAATGGAGCCAAAGATTGCCTACCTTGAGAATGAGGCTCTTTCAGAGCTTCTTCCGTGGAGTGCTCTTGTCCTTTGCTCCTGCATTCTCACCACAGTTTTGTTATCCAACGTGTTGGAACGATGGCTGCTCCCAAGACTGTATCTGGTCCTCTGGAAGAGTCTATCCACTGGCCAGAACGAAAGACGTCGCCGTTCCTTTACCTACGTTCACGTCGGCGTGACAATCATGTCCACACTTGTCGTCATTGGCGCTTATCCGGTTTTCGATTTCCTTGTCGGTCATGCTCGGCTCTCATCCATATTGTTCAAGAACCTCACATACGGTGACCATATGTTCGCCCTTTCTCAGATCTACAGTGCCTACTACCTCTTCGAGCTCTGTTTCAGAACCAGATTCGCTAGCGCCATCAGTATCGCCCATCACATTGGCCTCCTGGTTGTGATACGGACAGCTGTGGCTCTCTTTGGAGATCTGCGCAAGCACCCCGAAGCAATCCTAGAGTTCTACATGTGTATGGTGTGGGGTGAGTCTTCAGCCATTTGTAGCAAATGACCTGCTACAGATTCATAGACTGACTTTTAAGTTGATTGCCCCTTATAGGTGTTTTCGATGTGGTCGTTGAGCTCCCTCTGTACTCTTTCTTAATCGTCTGGCGAGTCAAGTCTAACGAGCATCGCCTACTGTCCCGGATGGCTTATACTTGCTGCATCTGGGTCTTACTGGGAGCGACTATCGAGACAGCAATCACCATCTGGCTCCTCAACCGCTCGTGGCATCGATGGAGCCTGTCGTTCCGCATTCTCCTGCCGCTGGTGTTCTCTCTCTGGATTTCCATCCAGCTGTATGGTGCATATAGGACCCTCGGCATGGCTACATCCAAGGCACGGATCGCGAGTAGCTGCCGCGCACGCACGGGAGAGCTCGCCCATGACAAGTCAGAGAGCATCAATCACCTGGGGTCTCACGATGGTGATGGGGTAATTGTACATACCGTACCTTGCCTACCATACCAGCTACCTTAGGTTATTTGAGAATCCATCCTCAATAACATCACCATCCAGTTCAAGATTGTCTACATGTACTGCTTGCTGCCAGAACAACTTCGCGAACTCAGTCCTATTGGGCGTAAATTGTAAAAGGAGGCCCACAAACACATCAGTTGATCTGCCGAGATAAAAGCAAATCCACACACTCCCAAGCATGGTGTACAAGTACAAAAAAAATCACTGACCCTGTGACCCTGGGACCCTGGGATGTGGGTGCTAAGATATCAGCTGTGCCTGGTGAGAATCAACAACGCCAACCACACTACAAATTTCCAAGGCCGCCGGGGATACATGTATTGTTCAGGGGCACTTGGGACAGAAAACAACGCCAACGTTGTCTGGCTCGTGCAGGATTGAAGGATAAAGGCAAGGCTTACTTGTATAACTCGATGGCCGTTCAACGTACGTCACTGAAGGGTAGCGCGGGAGCTAGTGAGGTGCATGTATAATAAGGTAGGGTAGGCTCGTGGTGTGGTTGGTGTAAGTACATGTACTTGTACACATGTATCCAACACTTACTGGAGCCTGCTAAGCCTCCTGACCTAACTAACCTCGGCTCTGTAGGCCGGCTCCAAGAAGAAAAGAAACAAATTGCTGGATTGTATCCAGCGCGGCCGGGGTGTTCGGGGTTCAGGTACCCGTCCAATACTCGGCGGCCGCCCATTCCCTCTGGTAGACCCGGGCAGGTTACCGGGTTCACCCCAGGAGCCGCGCGACCCGAAATGCTCGCCTTGGAGTGAACGGAAAATCCTTCACACATTGAACTTAATCTTGGTGATGCTCCCTGAGGACAAACCCTTCGTTTTGAACTTTTGGATGAAGTTCGAAGCTTCTTTATTGCGCTGTCTTTTGGGCAGCACGGCGGCCATGTGGCCTGTCAGCCGCGAGTTATGACTGCAAACTTACCATCGCATCTCTGGCAGCGCGTATAGTCAGAACGACTGTTGTCTTAGAGCCAACGCAACTGCCCCTATCTCCCGATGTCACACGAGGGGGGCTTGATATCAACGGCCCACAGCAGAACTTAGTCTGCGAAGCACCGCCTCCGAGTACTCGGTCGGGCGCGGGACGAATCAGCCGAAGAATTCAGGTGAGCACTGCAAAGCCCGAGTCCTTGGCAGGCATCACCCCCTTTCCTACAGTCGCCTTCCGTCGTCTGTGGAACCAAAGTACTTTGATGCGAGGAAGACAGGGATACTCTCTGGTTACTGACGGCGGCCTCAGTTGTGTGATAGTTAGGTAGTAAACTTTGTTATATTTACCTTCTCTTTTTTTGCCCTACGATCCAGTCGGCCGGGCTATCCAGACAGACGGCGAGGACCATCTGGAGTGTTGGATGATAATACCAAAACCGGGGCTCTAGGTCTGAACTCGCCTTCACCCTCCAACACTCTCTTGTCTTGCTTATGTTTATCTTGGCACATTCATCACGATGCATTTACAAATACTTCTTTTGCTCGCACTCCTCTCTTCTATCACCGCCACAGAGCCTATAAAAATACCGGGCCACCATGTCGAAACTACCATCAGCCCCCGAGCCCGTCCCGATGCCCCTAGTGGCAGTTATGCCCCGGCCGTCGTGCCGTGTCCAGCTGAGAAGCCCAGCATTCGTCGCGCCAACACACTCTCAAAGAGGGAGACCGACTGGCTCGCCAAACGCCGCGCAAACACCGTCGACCCTATGATCCAGTTTTTGAACCGGGCTGCCATCGAAGGATTCGATGCCGAGGCTTACATCAAGAATGCCGCCGCTGGGGTCAGGGACCTGCCCAATATCGGCATTGCCATCTCCGGAGGAGGCTATCGTGCCTTGATGAATGGCGCCGGTTTCTTGTCCGCTGCTGATAGCCGTATCCCCGGCACCACCGACAAAGGTGGAATTGGCGGTCTGCTCCAGGCCAGCACCTACCTGGCCGGTCTTTCAGGCGGCGGCTGGCTGGTGAGCAGCTTGTATGCCAACAACTGGACCGCTGTTGAGACGCTTCGCAAGGGCGGGAAAGACAGCAACATTTGGCGCTTCCAGGACTCCATCTTCAAGGGGCTTGAAGTGCCCGGCATCTTCGATACAGTCAGGTGCTGGGCGGATATTGTTGAGCAGGTCGCCCAGAAGAAGGACGCGGGCTTTGAGACGTCCATCACCGACTACTGGGGCCGCGCGCTTTCGTACCAGCTCATTGACGCCCCTCATGGCGGTCCGTCATACACCTTCTCCAGCATCGCGCAGGACAACGACTTCTCCAAGGCCCAGACGCCCTTTCCTATGCTAGTTGCCGACAACAGGGCCCCAGGGACGAAAATCATCTCCATCAACTCCACCATCTTTGAGTTCAACCCGTTTGAGATAGGCTCCTGGGACCCAACTACCTACGGCTTCGCGCCCATTGAGTACCTTGCCTCTAACTTCTCTGGCGGCCTGATACCGTCCTCTGGCAAGTGCGTACGTGGCTACGACTCGCTCAGTTACATCTTCGGTACCGGCAGCTCGCTCTTCAACGCCGCCCTGCTCAAAAACTTGACCGGTGTTGACGGGTTGCCCAAGGTTCTTACCGAAACCGTGACCGAGATCATGAAGACCCTCGACGCCGATAATGACGATGTCGCCCAGTACGTCCCCAATCCCTTCTTGGGTTGGAACAACGCCACCAATCCCACCCACGACACCCTAGAACTCGACCTTGTCGACGGCGGCTTGGACAAGCAAAACATCCCGCTACACCCACTTATCCAGCCCTTCCGCGCCGTCGACGTCATATTCGCCGTGGACTCCTCCGCCGACACGATCTACTCCTGGCCAAACGGCTCGGCCCTGCGCGCCACCCACGCTCGCACCAAGTCCGCCATGGGCAACGGCACCCTCTTACCCGTCGTCCCCGACGATACAGCCTTCCTCTCGTTGGGCCTCAACAACCGGCCCACTTTCTTCGGTTGCGACATCAACAACTTTACCCTCACCGACCCACAGGCCACTATGCCACCGCTAGTCGTGTACCTCCCTAACGCGCCCTATACCCACATGTCCAACTACAGCACCTTCACGCCGTCGTACAGCAGGCAGGACATTGACGGCGCCATCCTCAACGGGTTCAACGCCGCGACCCAGGGCAATGGCACGTTGGACCGCAACTGGCCGGCATGTGTCGCGTGCGCAGTTATGAGCCGGAGCTGGGCGAGAACGCGCACCGCGGTGCCTGCCCAATGCGCCAGCTGCTTTCAGAGGTATTGTTGGAATGGGACCGTCGTTGTGGGCGCCAATGTTGTGGCTGGCGGCGGTGGCGCCGAGTATCAGCCTGCGTTCAAAATTGCCGATGGGAGTCACTCGGCGGGTGTTCGGAGGGTGGGTTTGTCGGCGTCGGTGTTGATGGTGGCCGTTGTGGCGTTTCTGGTGGCATTGTAACTTGAAGGGTTAGAATGGGCTGGACGCGGTAACTGTGAGAGGAAAGGGGACAGTGCTGTTTCTGATGGTTGTACCTTGTGTATTATTATTCCTGAACCGTTGCGGCCGGGCCCGGGGCTTGTCGGGCGCCTTCAAACAATAGAAATAAGCCATGTCAAGCCAACCGAATTACCAACTTGCTAATGCCACCCTTGCCCGTCGCAACCATAGTACAGGCTTTCCTGACCGCATCGATATCGTCAATGTCTACCACCGTCAGGACGGCCCTGATTTTCCTAGCTGCGATCCACTCCCCTGACCTCTCCAAATCCTCCCTGTTCCCGTGGTTGCCCGATACAAAGTCCTGTTTGACCTTGGTACCTCACGCTTCCAGTTATACCAGATGTTGGCCAGGATTGATATCAACATGATGAGACAGCGAGCAAGTATGGGCGCAGGGGAGTCCCGGATCAAGCTCTTCACCGTCCTAGGACTCGGAACGCTTGCGATTGAGACCACGGCGCCCGTCTGCGGGTTCACAAGCGGAAAGGTTCCGACGAGGTCCCACTGCGTGTTCAGAACAAAGTCGACGGTTCCTCTCCCAACTTCTTGCACAATGTTTTGCGTATGGTAGTTGACCACCTTGTCCACGATGCCCCGCAAATACTGCTGGACAAGGTCTATCTTTGGGGTCGAAACCGTCGACACAACCGACTTGGCACCGTAGACGTTCTTGACGATCTGAGTATAGACGGAGCCGGTCGCGCTCAGCCCCCCGGGGATGAATACGGTCTTGCCCTCCAGCGTGCTGATCCCGGGCGGCTGGCCGGTGATCTCAAAATAGCGCTTCACACATTGGTACGCCGTGAGAACGGATCCGGCCAGGGCCGCGGCCTCTTCAAAGCTCAGGTGCGCCGGCTTGACCAGCAGAAACTCAGCTGATACGATGGTAAAGTCGGATGCGAAGCCCGGGGCAGCCCTTTCTGGGAAAAGCTGGCCGTGCTTGAAGGCGAGTCCATAGACGGCATCACCTACGCGGAGAGATTTGACTCCACTGCCGACTGCAATAACGACGCCGGAGCCGGACTTACTGAGGCGGAGGAGAAACCTGATTGATTCACGTTAGCTTCTTTGTAAGATGGTCGCATCCCGCGCTACCGCTCAGGTCAACTCACTTGGTCGTGACCAACAACTTGAACGCTCCGGCCGCAGCTTGGGTGTCGCCGGTTTGGACCGCCGCAGCATGGACGCGAATCAGAACGTCGTTTGGCTTCAGGTCGTCAGCAGTTCGGGGATGGGAGCTCCACAACTTCGTAACCCGCGGGAGGACAAGATCTCGGCGCTACGGGCGAGCGCATGGTTGCGGGTGTGGCTTTCACCATAGCCACACCATGAGAGTGATATCGTCTCTTGTTAGCATTGGGTAAATACAACTGCATGTCTGGAACAGCAGCAGGCGATTTGATCCTTTGAATCCGTCTGGATTCTGGATGGCTGTGCCTCGGGGGAATCGCCGAAGGCCCGAAGCACCGACTTGGCGTCTTGAAACACCGAATCAAAACCACCCCGCTGACCGTACCGGCGCGGCAGGACCAAGCAGATCGTGACGGCCCTGAACCAGCACATCAGACCACGATTTTGTCACCGAACCCAGGGTAGGCGCGCCAACGCCGCGTCACACCTTCCTTCTAACTCTGTGTTCCGGTCACGTAAGCAATCTCCATCAGGCCGTGATCACCAACACCGCCGCTGCATCAAGACCAAGGGCCCAAGTCCATCGCAGGCCGGAATTGCTCCAAGTCCGTCGTGTCCGGTCCCGCGAATATGTCCGCTAAGCCATCAGCAAAGGCTGACGGTCCAGCGATCGGATTACTCCCGCCGATACTCATGTTTGGGGCCGGATCGTGAGATTCCTCCAAACTATCTGGAATAGTTGTCACCGCACCACCACCAGGCTGGTCCGCGACTGCATGTGTATTGCCATCTGTTGTGAACATGAACCCAATCTTGCCATATTGTCCAATTTTGGCCCCGATGGTCGCTACGATCCGTGGTGGTGTCTCCTCCAGCGACCTATCAAGGTTATCATCACATTGTTGTTGTTGTTGCTGTTTCAGCGCCGCTTCATGCGCCTCCCAGGCTTGCAGAACGAGCCGTGACAGGAGAACGAAGAAGGGCGAGTTGTAATACTCGGCTGTACCCATGCCGCGAGCCTCAAAGCAGTCGCTCATGACCTCCCAGGTTCGTCCGGCACAGCCATCCCCGGGGTGCTTCTTGATGTGTTGAAGCAGGTACGTGTAGGCGAGGAAAGGGAAGTGATACTCGATGTACCAGCGGTATCCCTTGGTTAGAGGCGACTTGGTGAGTTTGGTGTCGCATTCGATCATGCTGAGTGCATACTGAACGCCAGAATTGTTGTGTTGTTGTTTCTGTTGCTCAGGTTGTGCATCTGTCCGCTGCGGCGTAGACTTGATGGACTTTGCCTCCCTCGAATGGCAGTGTTCGAAGAGCAACATCTTGGCCATGTAGGCCCGCGCCGACCATATTGTCATGAAATGGAGCGGATTTGCCGGGTGGCAGAGCGCAAGGGTCTTCTCTTCCACGGTCCTTTGCATTTCGAGCAGATCGCGGACTCCCAAAGGAGCGGTGCCGGTTGTGGCATCTTTAGCTTAGTTAAATGTATTTAGTAATAGCTCGATGAAGTCGAGGTGAAAGGCGCAGTGGCGAACAAAAGTCGCTAAGTTGGCTGCGCACAACCATTAAGAGTGCCTCGGTAGGGTTCGTGTAAACTGGTGGAACGGCCTTCATGTCTAGCAGAAGCTCAAAGTCGTTCAGGTTGAGAGGAGTCCGGCAGTTCCACGTGGGAGGAAATGCGATTGTCAAAGATGACCAGCGGCCACCACAGCCTTCGGCGCACCTCGGCCTCCAGAACGGTGCATTTCGCGTGGTTGGATTCATTGTTGTAGCCCATGCGTTGTGCGATTCGGATGGCAACAGCCAACATGGACGAGAGGGATCGAGGATCTGTTTCGGGTCTGACAGATACCTGGGAGCAACTATATTAGCACAGATGAGAGGTTGACCTTGGCAGGTTCTTCTCAATCCTGTCTTACTAGGTAAAGGATAGAGCCGTAAGGCAGTCATGATCGCCAGACTGTAGGACATAGCATTGAGTAGGGCTTGCCGATAGACGACCTGATAGCCTGTCAAAATATCTTTCTTCCGAGATCCAACCAGGGTATGGCATTGATCATCGGCAAGACTGATAACAGAGACGCAGTAGATTCTGAAGAGGACTCGGAGTGCTTCCAATGGCGCGCCGATGCTTGCACGATCACCGACAGCGTCGATGATGCGAGCCTGCAAGCTGGGCGTGTGCGTGACTTTCAGGAGAGGATTCACGTTATCGAGGTAAATCTGCCACAGCCGGAGAATTTTAGCCTGCTCCGAGTGTAACGTGGCCAGGTCGACCTTACTAACGGGCGAGCCGAACAGAAGATAATGCGTGTTTTCCAAGTCATTGTTGTAGGTGTGATGATCCCACGCGTTCTTGATGACGGCATCCCCAGATCATCAATCTTGGTGCAGAAAGCCACTGTCGGTCTCGTCATCCTCATCCTCGGGATCAGAACTCTTGTCCTCAACAGTCAGTTGAGTTCGCGGTCCGCCGGTCAGAACACGCCAGTCTCAGACATGATAGGAGTTTCTGGTATCATGGTATGTACTGTACATACCTTTTGTCCCACGGCATGCCAGAGGTTGCTGGGGTGAAGTCAGCCATGTCAAGGAAAGGAAAAAGTAGCAGGCGACTCAGGCTCAGGGGCAGGCGCACGCAGGCCTTGACTTGGTGGCAGGCAGGGAGTTGATCGAGCTAGACAGCGCCGTGCCGGGAGACTCAGGGGTACTGCCACTGAGAGGAGATAACCCAGAATGATTCGCGTTCACCGTGGTGGTAATACCTGCAGATGGATGCGACGGGTGCAAGGGCTCGAACTTGATGTTGTGCTGATGCAGTAGGGTCTCGTAATGGCGGATTCGGGCCAGCAATTCCCGCTCTGGAAACCAACGGCGGCGCTCTCGCGGAAGCGTGGCCGGAACACACTGGGCCCCGTTGCGCACACAGTTTGCGCAGGGAAATTTGCGGTCGCACTTGACTCTCCGCTGCTGGCACATCTGGCACGCCAGCACGCGCTGCGACTTCGCCGCGACGTGGACCGTGTCTGGTAATTCCGGCTGCTCCGTCGACATGGTGCAGTCCTGTCTACGGGCACGGCCATTCCGTATTTCTAAGGTCGGAAATTAAGGTACGGGACCTAAACGTAATATGTTGGGGGAGAACGGGCGGTTCGGGATTTACAGTATGAGCGCCGTGGGCACATGGTGTAGGTAGGTTAGCATGATGTGTTGGAAGTTTGGAACTTGGGCGTAGCGTGGGCCCTGTGGGGTAGGGTAGGTGAGCTGGGAGTGCAGTTTGGTGATTGATTTTTTGATCTGCGATTGGAATCTCGATCGGCTGATGCTCCCCACCTTCCCATCAGAATTACCATTTTCAGTAAGGTTCCCAAAGGGAAAAATCTTACATACATTCCCCTAACCCTTACACGCAACCCTATGTGCCTGTAGAACACCCCATGTGCACTTTCAATGTAATCACACCTTATTAGCGACTGAGTGAATCATCCCGAAATGGCCGATATCTCAAACGGCCAACCCCAAGGCCATGGCGCCAGCATCCGATGGCTACCGGCTTTCCGAATCCGGTACTCCACCTTGGACGACATGCCGCCCGAAATCCTGGCACTGATCCTGGAGTGCCTCGTCCCTCAACCGCCCGAGATTGGCGACACACACTCTGTTGCCTACGATCAGTTGGCCAGCGATGAGCCGTGGTTCGACTTCATGCGCCGTCGCCGCGGGCTCCACAGCGTTTGCCTGGTCTCACGCCGCTTCGACGAATGGCCCGCCCCCTGCTGTACCGCATCGTTGCCCTGTGGCACGAGTCGTCCATGGTCCTCTTCCTCCGCACGCTGTGCGAGAAGCCTCGCTACGCCCACTGGACGCGACATCTATCCTGCCACCTGACCCTGACCAGCGAGAGCGTGATCCGCGAGACCCGCCGAGCTCTCACCAAATACCTGCCCTCCATCAAGCTGGTGATTGAGTCCGAGAACCTCAATAACATGGCCCGCCAGGTGCTGGCTGCTTTGAAGTTCGGCATCCAAACGAACCAGCGGACCCCAACACTGCCCGGCCTGGTTGACCATTATCCGCAATTAGTCCTGTTAGTCATCTTGATCTTTCTCACCAAACTGGAGATCTTGCTTCTGCAGGTCTCCATCTGCGATGATAACCCGGAATGCGACGGCTTTTGCGCGCAGGTAGAGGCGGTCAAGAGACTCTTCAGCACCTACAATGAACCAGAGATCACACCTTTCAAAACATCCACACCCTCCTGTTGCAGGGCGACGCGGACTTGTTAGAGCACTTCGAAGCAGAGAATTGCGACTGCGAGATTCCAGAAGCTTGGGGCGCCCAGCCGCGCCAATACGCCTCACTCTACGAGTCGTTCCCCAAGCTAACTACACTCGAAGTCAGCGCCGACGACGGCATCTGGACCAACGTGGAAGAGGAGCGTCTTTCCTTTCTAGTCGGCGGCAGGGTTCCAACCCTCTACCTCGCCAACATCCGCAAGATCTACCTGCACAGTCTCGCCTGTCCGCGGAATTTGCACCAGATCCTGCTGAACGCGCCTAAGCTGGAGACCTTGTACATGGCGTCGCGCCCTTACGAGCCTACCATTGAGACGTACCACAGCAACAGCACCCACGCCGACCCGGAAGCATTTGATTATGGGCTGATGCGGCATGCAAAGAAGCTGCGCAACCTGGATATCAGCTGGGTCGATGTCCGTGGATTTGAATGTCTCATCGGGCCCGAGGGTAGGCTCGCCGCCCTGGCCCAAATGGAACGGCTCGAGACACTGTGTATTCAACTGGCCGTTTTATACGGGAAACCATCTATTGTGGCCGAGACCCCTCTCGTTAACCTGCTCCCGCCGAATCTAGTCGAGCTGACGCTCGAGGACTGGCACGTTTCCTTAGCACCACTGATTCCGATTCCAAGGATGCATTTGGTGAGCTAACAAGCTACATAGGTGGTGGCAGAATGCAGACATGGTTGAGGTCCTCCCGTGCTGGGACGTCGAGGACAAGGTCAAGCATTACCAATCCCACCACGGCTACAGAGAGACCGCGCTGCGGACCCTGACGCAGTTCGCGCGCAACGTGAGGACACGGATGAGCAAGCTAAAGAAAGTGGTGTTTCTGTGCAAGATCCCGTGGACATGGGTTATGGAGGACGGAGTCCCCCTCGAGTTCCATTTTGAGCAGCTCACGCTGATGTTCAACACGCAGGACATTGACTTCCAAATCAACTGCGACGAAGTGTCAGAGCAGACTCGGGAGGTTATTCCCGGCCGGTGTTAGTTTATGTCTTGTCAGACACGCCGCATGCACTCGGAAAAGCCCGTTGCATTGGGGATTTATTTCGCCCAGCAGATATGCGATTCGCTCCAAGTCGGGGCCTCTATTGGTGCCTGCAGTATTGTATTGTACCTCTAATGTACGCCAGCTGCTAGGAAAGCAACAACTGTCTGATAGAGTCTGTTAGAGTGCAAGGAGCGGCCAATCCCTCAGCTTCGGAAACGATCAGAGCTGGAATATCAATCTTGTGAGCTAGTACTGTACTGTACAGATACGGTTCTGGTAGGGCTTTGAGCGCCCTACAGCAATACGAGTTCACTAGTCAACGCCAAGATATTGGGGCTCTGCGTAGGCTGCGACAGAGAGTTTCGGTGAGAGACTGTGGATTGCTGGAACCTTCTGTCAGATCCCTGCAATCTGACTGTTTCTGCGGAAGCTCAACCGCCCATACAGGTTACGCCAGGATAGCGAAGTTTCTACACGTGTATGAGAGCCAATGAAGTGCTGGAGCCTTCTTGAAGAGTCTTGTTGACTCCTGCAGGACCTGCTCGGATAAGTCGGATCCGGCCCAGACCGACTAGACCTATCATATTGACTACACCTGGCCTAGTAGCAACGCCGTCTACGTGTACATACATACATGTGCCTCGGCTCAACCTCCAACTACCTTGGCGCTTGATAGCTATAAGACACCGCGTCCTCTGTCGCGTACGACAGTCCTCGTCTTCTCTCTCTCTCTCTTTCATCCACATCCTCTCGTAAATAGGAAGCCAGCAGACCGGGCCACAGCAATTGAAACACTTCAACCGACAGATCACCATGTCCGCTTCCAGCGATAACCCCAAAACCTACACAGGCAGCTGCCACTGCCGCGCCGTCCGCTACACGGTAGCCCTTGACCTATCCAACCCTTCCTTCGAAGCCACCAAGTGCAACTGCACCATCTGCCTCAAGACGAACCGCCTGGGCGTTCGAATCCCTGACCCAGAGCAGAGTTTCAAGCTTCTCTCGCCGGCCTCGCTGGACGAGGTGCCAAGCTACCGATTCAACACCAAGCAGACACAGCACCGGTTCTGCAACAAATGCGGCATTCACATTCTCTGCTACGGGGAATATGAGTATGAGGGCCAGATCTACAAGGTGTTCAGTATCAATGCTGTCACGCTGGACCAGGACCAGGAGGGGCTTGATTTGCGCACGTGGAAGGTTCGTTTCTGGGACGGTAAGGCGGAGAATTGGAATGCTGAGCCGGCTGAGAAGCCGTACCCCGGTGGTAGCTACTATTGACGGAGGGTGGTGATAGCCCCAGGAGATAGTGCTTTGGGTTGAAGTCATGGAATGTAAGCGTCGTTTATACGAAGGAGGAATATGTACATACAGAGCAAACAGACCAGACTGCTGCCCGCAGCTCCCCGTCTCATAGCAGCCAAGGACTCTAACTCGGACTCAAGGAATTGGTCTCACGCTCTGTCCCCTGCGTAACGCCTCCCTTCCACCCTTGCCTTGGCCCTTGGCGTAGCAGTCCCGCCAAACGGCGCCGTCGTAGACCCGCTGAGGACAATCACCGGTGTCCCCACCGCCCTGGCCGAAGTCACCCGCTGCTGAGCATGCGGCACCGGGGCCGCCCCAACCGCCACCGTCGGCCCGGGGATCACATACTTGGTCATGGCCGCAGAGACATTACCCCAAACTCCCGGATCATCCTCCTTATAAAACCCCCTCGCATCAAATCCATCCATGTTAAACTCATTCTCCCCATCTTCCCCCTCCACCCAGAGGTTAACACACACCGGATAATTCTGCGCGCCCCCCTTCCTCTCCGCAAAATGCAGCGCCACAATCTCCTGCCTCAGCACATACGCCCCCGTCCGCAACCCCCTCGGCACCTGCACCAGCCAGGTATTATTCGCCGCAATCATCACATCCGTCGCCCACCGCTCCCTCGTCAGCCTGCCCTGCCCCCTCCCAACAACATCTTCCTCCCCCCGCGCAAGGGGCACCACCACAGGGCTTGAATCATCCACCTTGGTCCACCGTAGCGCCGTCTTGTCCTCCCCGGCACACCCACCCCCCTTACCACTGTCATCACACCGCGCGAGGTAGGTAAGCACAGGCCCGACATGCCCGACGGGCCAGCCATTCCAGTGGACCTGCACGCGGTCGCCGGGGCGAACAGGGGCGTGCGCGGCCGGGCTTGTGCCGGAGACGTAGCAGATTATGTCTGGGTCGGCGTATTTCGAGGGGGGCACGAAACCGTCGTCTGTGGCGGCGCTGGACCAGCCCACGTGGTCGGGCGGGTCGGGCGGCTGGTTCGGGCGCGGGTCGAAGCCGTGGTACAGCAGGCCGTTGATGGTGATGTGTGACAAACAGGTGGGAGTGGCCATGGGAGCTCATGGGGAGGGTGAGGAGGTGGAGGGAAAGGGTTGGAAATGTTACCGGCGGAGGCACTGGGTACCTAGGTATGATTTGGTACCACCAGTGCTTGCTTGGTGGTGGACTCCTATAGTACTAGGTGTGAGGGAGGCCTGGAATGGAGGTGCGACAACAACCTGGGTTGTTAAGACCACGGCTATAGGCTCATCTTATAGATGAATTCCCAGTCGATCATTTCTTGGCCATCAACATCTGTGACGGGATGTTAGCCGGGAATCCGGGGTGCAGGCCAGGGTGTGTGCCCGTTTATCCCTACTGCAGAACCATCCTATAAGCTATAACCTAATTGTCCCGCCCCGAGCCTGAGACCGTCCGGGTCATCTGTATTAACTATTAACTGCCCTACGCACGGTTCAAGCTGTGCGGAAGCCTCCAAGCGAAGGATGAGCTCCCTGATGCACCCGGTTTCCGGGATCTTGATGAGGCTTTTACCAACTGATCAGCGCGCCGTCAGGGACGCGAAGGAGACTGCGATGGGTCCCGTTGCCGGTCGACGGAGCTGATCACGGAACAGCGGGAACCATCTCCAATACCCTGTTGATCGCTTCCCCAATTGTTGTTGGAGACCCGCTGCATTCTCAGAGCTCTGAGGAGTTTCAAGGTTGATCATCCAAGGGTGCCACTCTCCTTTTGATCATCTGCCAGTCGACCTCCGCATCCTTCTGCCATACCCCAGATCCGGGTAATGAAGTATCTCCGGCTGACTATGGACGATCATGTGTCAGAACGGAACGTGGGGCATGTTTCATCTAAGTTACTTTCCCTTTCTCATTGATCCCGGGATCGCCTGCAGGCTTCCCATGAACGATATGATCGGCGCATACCGTGATTCGTTACACGGAAACGAGGCCCGGGGAACTGGGATTGCGCACGGTCGGAGCCGGTAAGAGGGCAGGTTAGAAATTTGGTGAAGTTACGAATATCTCTAGCCGAGTTCTAGAGAATGACCAGACAGTACGCCGTACACTAAGATATTGTATAGGTGTCGGTTGGTTCGCTGTGATGGACCAAGTGCTGGACGGCATGCGGCAGGATCTTGGCGAGTGTTCTTGGCATCTCCGAAGAAACAAGGACCATGCTAACCCTGACCCTCGGACCTCGGAGATCTGGAGTGTTGCCTGATGAATCCCCCTGGATTGCCGTTGACCACATTCCGGCAACAGACCTCACCAAAACACTGGCGAGCCCTAGACGCGACCACATCAAATCCAAGATGTCAACGACAAGGCGGATCGCGAAAGCTTTGCAAGCCAATACAACGCAAGCCAAAACAGCCGTCAGTTCCGCCATCCCCGGCGCTCTGCCAATCCAGCTGTTCGAGAACGCGAATGCTTGGGAGACATGGCTGGAAAGCAACTGCGGCCAGTCGACGGGCCTGTGGTTGAAGATCAGCAAAAAGGGGTCTGGAATTGCGTCCGTCACCTACGACGAAGCCGTCGACACAGCATTATGTTTTGGATGGATTGACGGCCAGAGAAATCCCTCGATGCAGAGCACTCCATTCAAAAGTTCACTCCGCGTCGGAAGAAGAGCATGTGGTCGATGCGGAATGTTGACAAGGTCGCCAAACTGATCGCTGCGGGGCGCATGCGCGATGCGGGACAACTCGAAGTCGACGCGGCGAAGGCGGACGGGCGGTGGGAGAAGGCATACTCGTCGTCGAGCGTAATGCAGGTCCCAGCCGACTTTCAAGCGGCCCTAAACCGTAACAAGAAGGCAAAGGCATTCTTTGAGCGCCTTAACAAGACCAAACGTTATTCGTTTCTTTGGCGCATCGAAACTGCGAAGCGGGACGAGACACGGCAGAAACGGATTGAGCAATTTGTCCAGCTCCTTATCGAAGGAAAAATCACTGTGATTCCGTGCAATTTGGTACGGGGCCGTTCATCCCCAGGAGGCTTTGCCTGTTTTCACTTTCAGCAGGGGTTGGAATGATGGACGGCAGGAGGGGATAAGATGGAAGACAGGGAAGGTTTGAGGGTCCCTTTCCCCCGTGGGCCATCTTGTCCCCGCAGCGATGGCCGGTGGAGCGAGATTTTGCACGGAATTTGGCATTCCGCTGTGACCTGCAAACGGCAAAAGAAAGTGTGTCCCAGGGGATAATAGGGACCTCTCACCGAGCTGTCGCTTATGTCACCGCCATCACGCCGTCAATGCGACAAAAATCATGCATCAGCCAGCCATCGTGGGCCAGCGGGACGGCAGAGATGCCACGTCATCTTGTGCCCGCCTCGTTCCTTTGCCTACCCGGTGTGTATGATTGTTGCAGTGCTTGTACACGCACCCTCATTCTCTCCGAAGCTTGTCCTAATCAAGGACCTTCGTCGGCTCTGCCATCCTACTCCTGCCTGCTGCAGGGTAAGACGCAGTGTAAGACCTGGAAACAAACCGCTGTCGAATCACGGCGCCAACATGATGTTCGTTTTTGTGACCAGTCTCGTAGGTAGCGCTGAAGCTGCGTTGACATTCGGTCAGAATGTGTCCCAGCGAGACCATCTAACCTGCAGACGGAGGATATTTCGGATGTGCCAAGCGTATAGAGGCCTCCTGACGTCTCTGCGACGGATGTAGTCGACACTTTTGTGACTGGTTAGAATCGACATGCGTTGCAAAAGACTATGTACAGGGGACCTACTAGGCAGACGCGGAGTCGCACGCCACGGACGGGACGAAGGGATGCCTCAGCTAGCAGACCATGGGAGGTTAGATGCTATGGAGTAAGAAAAGCAGGCGAATTCTAATCGCTTGGTGTAGATGAAGCTCCATTCGAGAGTTGTAGTACTAGTTGAGTGACTGTTCGTGATCGAAATAAGCTGCAAGGCGAGAAGCCCTGGGCAAGCCATAAGGTGTAGGCCACGATGCAGGAAGCGCAAGAACTGCAACGGCCGATATACAAGGGTTAGTCGCTAGAGGAGTGGAAGACAGGGGGCATCGGCATACCGCCGCCTCAGGTTGGCAAGATGAGGGGATAAAAGATAGGTTGGTGATGAAGAGCGCATGGCAAGGGTGTAAAAGAGAGTACAAGGAGAGGACGTTAAAGAGGCTCCTATTTATACTGTAAGAGGAAAAGAAGGATCCTATGGTTGAAGAACTAGTAGGAGGATCTTATAGTTGGCTGCTAGCAATAGGGACTAGGTTTAGTAAAGGACCTCTATTGTTAGCTATATAAAGCTAGTTGATATAGTAAAGGACCTATTGCTGGCTATAGGGGCAGCTATACTATACTAAGGTAATATCCTGTTTATTATCTTCAATCTAACAACCTACCTTTCCTTCCTAATACTGCTTTATCTTCTCTAGCTGGTTATTGAATTTCTCCTATCGCTTACCTAGTCCTAGGACCGAGTATCTTACCCGCTTACCGGCTCTAATATGCCGGTCAATAGCGAATCGACTTCGATCTCTGACCTAGCTAAAATATACAGCATTTAGATCCAAGGAAAGACCCTTAGGAACACCTAGAGAGGAGGGCATACGTAGGACGATGTTGTATTATTGGTTGACTTCGAAGTAGGAGGAATTAGGGTAATCGTCGGTTATAACTAAGGTAGCAATTAGGGTAGTTAGCAATAGTATAGTTAATAGAAATATACTCCTAACTTATAGATCAAATCGATCTAGCTTATTAGCTGTATGTGACGAATCTCGGTCCCCTAACCACTGAAAGGGACTCCTCAGACTAAAGGTTCGTAACAACGGGGTGAGGCTCGGTAGAGCTAAAGGGTCTACAACAATTAACACAAGCAAGTGTTCACACAGTAGTAAGGACAACTGCTTGCATTGCTTACTGGAGAACTCCCAGAGCTCTCCAGGATAAGTGACTATATACTAGCTATTTCTCAAGGTGCTCAGTTTGCTCAGTACTGCCCTCTAACTGATCCCACTGATCACCTCTAAGCCTTCGTTGCTTCCTGATTCGTCCTGTTTGAAGGTGCTCAGTGTGCTCAGTTCGCCTGGCGACTGAGCCCACTGATCTCCTTAACGTTACCCTTGTTTCTTGTATTTCTTGGTGATTGGTCCGGGAGCTGCCGCCTGTGCCCCGCCGGGTTTCTGGCATGCGGCCCTCCTGTTGGCTTAATTCGTGACACTGTATCTTAAAGGCTAATGTAGGTCGGTGAAGGCCAATGTAGGAAGGTTAGCAAGGCTAATGTAGGAAGGTTAGGAAGGCTAGGAAGGTTAGGAAGGCCAATATATGGTGGGTAAGTAAGCTGCCTAAGCGGTGTAGGCTGGCAATTGAAAATGCAACTGATTTGCGAAGTGCCCTGGAAATGCGTTTTCTAGCTAATTTAGCGATTCTAGCGATTCTAGCGATTCCAGTGAATTTAGCGAATTCAGCGAATTCAATGTACAAAGGTCAGGACGGTCAATTTTGCTGGCTAGAACTGGGTTATCTTGACTTGTATATGCCGCTAGCAAATTTGGCTGGGGCGGATTACGTTATTGGACTGAGGTCCCTTGTTAGCGAATGTGTAATGTGGCTTCTAATTGGTCCATTTAAGTTAATATGTAGGTCTAGTGGCAGTGTGGTTAAAAGCTAGTGGTAGTTAAAAGCCCTACTAATAATAGTATATGTAGTTTTTTAGTACGCGCATGCTATATATAGGCCAATATAGGGAGCTCAACTGTAGTTGAGCTGACTTTGCTGCGCGCTGGGAGACTTGGGAGGTTGTAACAAAAAGTAGGACCCGCTTTGTTCTGGCGTTTTCCGGTTACAGCGTTTGCGTGGGCTAGCGTTACAGCGCCAAGATGCGCCTCACCCAAAAACAATGGAACTATACAAAAGTTCGTCACGCGGCTGCAAGCGGCAAACAACGACAACAATATGGTGGGATCAGCCCTGCTGACCCTGTATTTGTTGTCGTCCTGGCGGAGCTGAGTTGTCGACGTTGGTCAACAAGGATCCCGATCATCCTGCGACAAAATCACATTGTCGATCCGGAGATAGATTGGGTCCCTAGATACGGTGCCTTTGCTCAACGGATCAGGGTGCTGTCAACTACATCACTACCTATCCTTGTATGAGAGTGAGAGGTTGTGAGAGAAAAGAGAGAGGGAAGCTTGGGGGAGGAGGGGGGTTTATACTAGCGCGAAGTAGTAAGGCCGGGTTGGACTTTCCTTCATTTTGCGGCATTTAGGTCTGGGAACTGCAGGAGTGGAACGGCCTAGTCCACCTCCGCAATTAAAAGAACCTAAAGGTAATACAATAGGGACTTGGACAGTCCTAAGCTATTCTTTGGAAGAGAACACCGCCCGAGAGGCTACGGGAATCATTACTGACCTACCCCCTAGGAATCAACCGTTGGCATTAGAAACCGTTGTGAAGGTATTACAAGTTTGATACTGGCAAGCGTTGTGAATTTCGCAACTGTTGTCTCCTAGGATCCTAGGTTTAATTGGTGTCACGAAATAACCATTGTTGGTCACTCAGGAAGGCTGCAGCGAACCTGCAGGGCGAACCGGCAGCCAATCGCTTAATAAACCAATCAGGAGATTATCACTGCCAAGGTTGGATCGTCAACAGTGATAATAGGGAGTCACCAGCGACAATGGATTGTCGATGGTGAAGACAGGACAGTCACTCGTGATAATCACCAGGACGTAGTGAACGGAGTATTATATATACTAGCTAGATAGTCACTCGTTGGAGGACCTTCAAGGAGGTTCTCCAGTAAGCAATGCAAGCAGTTGTCTATACTACTGTGTAAACACTTGCTTGTGTCAATTGTTGTAGACCCTTTGGCTCTACCGAACCTCACCCCGTCGT